TTTTTTCTCACCCATTTTCTGTGACTGGCTAGATCTCCTTCAGTCTCTGGTGTCATGGGGTCATGGGTAGGGAGGATGGTGGTTGAGAACAGGCATGCCTAAGTCACACACTTTGTTGCACCACATCCTTTAACCCTGGGATACCACCCGGCCTTCTGAGGTCCAGAGAGGTGAGTGCTCTGCCCCAAAGTTGGAAAGCAGAAGGTTACAGCTAAGGTTGTCCTTAGGGAGTCCCCTTTGTCTTTGTGGCTGTTAGGTTTCATGCAGAGTCCTGATCTAAGGTACCCTTGGCTTCCTGTTTGTAATACAGGTCTAGACCACAGTTTCTCAGTCAAGGTGACTCTGGTCCCAGGGAACACTTGGAAATATCTACATACTTGGTTATCAAACTGGGGGAGGATCGAGGTGTTCCTGGTACCTAGTTGGTTGGACCAAGGAGCCCATGATACATCATACAATGCATAGGGTAGCCTCTCTCTATTAAGAGTCTTCTGTATACAACACAGTAGCAACAGTAATGAGGTTCAGTGAACAGTTGCAGAAGAAAAAAATTGATAGCTCTGCCCTGTCCTGTGGTAAGACCCTCCAGCCCCCTTCCCCCACCCCCCACACATAGCTCCAAGGCCTGTGTTCACATCGAGGAACAGATTGAGTCTGGCTCCACACAAGGAAACATGTAAGACAGTGGGTAGCACTGTACTTGGGCTTTCCAAGGAAGCAGGGGGATCGAGAGGTGAGCAAGGCTCCCATAGGCACTGTCTATATGTTCCGGTAGGTCCTATGGGCAAAGAACTGTCTCTTGGCCTGAAGAAAGAACTGGCAGCCATGACTGGAATTAGCAACCAGACCAGACTCTGTGTAAGGACAAGTGGGGAGAAGGTAGTCACAGTTGGCTCACCCTCATGGGGAAGAGGAGGCTTGGTGACAGTGAAGGGGACAGCCATCTGCACTTCTGCACTGGTACTAGCCTTGTTCTCTCTGACTTCATTTTTCTCACTTTCTCTCTTTCTCCCCCCCCACCTCCGACACACTCACATACAGAGGAAACCATTTCCCAGACTCAATCGAAGCTCCCACCTCCACCTCTTAATAGAAACCTCGTCCTTTGTGAGCTCCAGCTTCGCAGATCACACAAGTACTTAGGATACAAAGCTGGAGAATTTTTTCACCCACCAGTCCACAAAGCAGCTGGGGAGAGAGAGGTGGGAGGGGAGGCAGTCCTTTTCTTTCTTCTTTCTCTGACTGAAATTGGCATGGGGAACAGTCACAGCTGGAGCAGACTGGTCTGAGGAACTCTGGTCCGTGGTTCCAGTAAAAGGCAGCCCTACCTGGCTCTTGGTGCTCTGGGAAGATGAGAAGCTCACAATCATTGGCCCAACAGTACAGTCACAGGAGACGGCCTGCCTGGCAGGGCACGGAGAGAAGTACCTGCTTTTGTTCAAGTGGCAGGTATCCTGAAGTAAACTGTTGGGGGACTGGCTATCCAGCACACACTGGGTAGTGGCGCCCTGTAGTGTGCTACACTTCCTTCCACCTTTTCTTCCTGTTTCTTCCTGTCAGCATCTCCTGGAGTGTGGGTATGGGGTGATGAGTTGGGATGAGATTATCTGGAGATTGAGTGAAGAACCGTTCCGATGTGGGACACTGAGTTTAACACATAGGAATACAAAGCTGACTATGAACAGTGATATGAAGGTTCCCCCCGAAACCCAATAGACCCCCACATTTGAAACAGCTGGCCCGCCTCTGGGTATATGACCAAAAGAAATGAAATGAGAGTCCCACAGCTACCTATATGACTGTATTTACTTCCGCACTGCTCATAGCAGCAAAGGCAGAAACCAACCTTGGGGGCCACAATGGACACATAAAGAAAATGTGGAATGGACCATCATTTGGACAAAGAGGATGGAACAAGAGGACACAACAAAATAACTCAGATATGTGCCACCTGCTGTCCCATAACACACACCTTAAAAAGCCTATCGGAATGTACAGAGTGACTCCTAGAAGCTGGGACAAAAGAGAGGAGATGACAGAAGGCAGGTGGGGGATGGGCATTAAAACAGGCCTGAGAAATATGTCCTCACATTCTACACCCCGGTGTGGGGGGGGGGGGCTGAACTTCACAACAGCCAGTTACATATGTTATAAATAATGAACAGAGGAGAGCTTGGAGGCTCTGAACACAGGATGTTAGGAAGGAGACTGAGAACAAATGGAGGAATTCGATCAGCACCTGTTGTGATCACAGTGTGAGTTCACGCAGGGCCTCACAGGTTCATTATATGCTAATCAAGATGCTAATTAAGGCACTAAAGCGGTAGCTCAGTGTTTATGAGCTCAGACTGCTATTGAAGAGGACCTGAATTTAGTTCTCAGGACCCAGGTTAGCAGCTCACGACTGCTTGTAATTCCAGCTCCAGGGGGTCCAAAATCCTCTGCTGGCCTCTATAGACACCTGCACTCACATGTATATACCCCCATACTCACCCAATTAAAAATAAAAAGGGATCTTTAAAATGCTAATAAGCAATAAGGGAGCGTCAGAGGCTGGAGAGAAGTGTACACGCGTTTTCGCTTACCCTTCCATGCTTTCGGAAAAGAACATGTGGCCAAGAGGGACCCCACTCTGGTGCTCCAAGCCCTGTCCCCCATCCACAGGTCAGCTTACCTGGTAATCACATAGGGTGCAAAGCACACGAGGAAGGTCCCTATGAAGGTGCTGATCTTCTTGGTGGCACGCTGTCGCCTCCGCTTCTGTTCCTCCAGACATCGTTCCCTCACACTGCGCAGGGCAGAGAGGAGACGGTAACTCATGCTGCGGCCTGGCCAAGGCACAGGAAGGTGCTACTCATGAACACAAGAAATGGCTTCTAGGCATGTGGCTGTGAAGCCAGAGATCCGAGGCCCAGGCTTGTGCCCCTGGGCAAGCTGTGTGTCATTGCAAGATCATTATCTGTAGTGTAATATCATATACCACATTTTCATGATGTGCTTTCTTATAGACAATGAAACATAATGCTAAATGAGATTCTTTGAAGAATTAAATGCACAATGTACAGTGTTGTAGTTTCCTTTCTGTTTCTATGATAAAACATCCTGACAAAAAGCAACTCAGGGGAGGGAAAGGGTGTTTCTGGCTCACAATTCCATGATGCAGCCTATTAATTGGCGTGAGGCAGGAATTCAAGCAGCCAGTCACATAATATCTTCAATCCAGAAAAGAGAGAAGCAAACTATACCATGCTGCCTGCTTGCTTATGCCACTAGCTTTCCCTGCTCCAAGTTCAGAACCCTTTGCTGGGGAATGGTGCCACCCGAACGTCAATGAATAATCAAGATACTCTCCTACAGACATGCCACTGGCCTACCTGATCTATGTCATTTCTCGGCTGAAATGCTCCTCCCAGGTAATTCCAGGCAAGTTGACATTCAAAACCAACCATCACACACACACACACACACACACACACACACACACACGCATTTTGTAAAACATACCCAGTGTGAAATGAATGATACAATGAATATTATAAATTATATTATAGATATATAATATAACTATATATAGAGATTGTATAATATAATTAGTATTATACAATGAGTACTAACAGACAGAGATTCATTATTATTATTGCTAATGTCAACCACTGACTCCCCTGCATAATCCTGCCGGTACAACCTGTGTGTTGTCTTTTATTCTGATCTTTACCATCTTCAGACCTGCAGGGGCTATTTCAGTGCCTGTAGGGCTAGCCTACTGCTTACTACTAGACAATTAGTCTGTGCTAATTGTCACCTTGACAAAATCTAGAATCACCTAGGAGATGGGCCTCTGCTTACCTACGGCAGAGTATCTTGATTACATTCACTGATACAGAAAGACCCGACTTAGTTGTGGGCACATGCAGTTCCTGACTTGGGATTCCCAGCTGTAGGAAATGGGAAAAGCAAGCTGAGCACTAGCATTCATTATTGTCTGCTTCTTGGTTATAATTGGGATGTGACCAGCTGCCTCAAGCTCCTGCCGCCTTGACTGCCCTGCCATGATGAACTGTCCCTTGAACTGTGAAGGAAAAGACGCCTTCTACTCTAAGTTGCTCTTATAGCAACAAGAAAAGAAACTAAGACATCTGCTCTGTTTTAGATGGGTGACGGGGAGCTCTGTGAAGAGGGGAGGGAGCAGGTGAGTAGAGACAGCCCTGAATTGTGTCCATGTGACGTGAAGATAGGACTCACTGGGTAGAGGGGTGTGGAGAGGTGGGGAGCTTCCTTATGCTCCCTAAGGAGTGAGGGTCCTGATGAGAGGCCATGGCTGTTCCTTGCCAAAGTGTGGACAACTTAATGCCTGCAAAAGCTTTGGGGTACTTCAGAGAGACAGACACTTGAATGACTGAAGGAAGGAAAGGCTGGGACTGTAACTCCCTCGGACTGTACAGATCTTCAGAAATCTGCTGTGTTGTCTCCTTGAGGAGAGTTTAAGAGGAAGGCACTTTGCAGCAACCTCTTCTTTGGACTTTGCTTCTCGGCTTATGGCCTAGTGGTTAACTGTGAAGAGCCAAAGTTAGACTTCCAGATTCAAATCCAGGCACCTCCAAGCCACTGGGTTTCTTATTTCTGTAAAAATCCTTCTTGTTCTATGCTATGTTCACAGGTGAGAGGCAGCTACCAGGGGTGCTGTGAACTAGCACCATGCAACCTAACTTCAAGTCCTCGGTCGACTCTGTAGCCCACTGGAGGCTCACAGGGACATCAGATTCTAATGTGATGGACAGTGAAACAGAGTATCTGCAGAGGGTATTCTGCCCAGGCTCATGTCACTGCTGGCACAGAACAGTAGTCTCTGCAGCAATATGCCTATCCAAGTGTATAGATGGGGAAACTGAGGCTTAAAGGAATGAAGAACCTGCCTGGCATGAAAAGTCAGATACAAGTAGAATTTCAGACACAGGCACTGGCTGGAAGCCTAGTGCTTCCTGTTTAGAGTGTGGCACTCCTTCCCTGAATGAAGTCAGCTCTGCCATCCCTGCCTGGGCTCTGCTGTTTCCTGGGTGCGGTGGAGGCAGGAGGTGGAGGTCAGGTGACTGTATGCTCAAGGAAGCAGCATGACCATCATCTCAGCACCCTTGTCCCTTAGTCAGGTGTGAGACCCCTCACTGAGTTTGCTATTGCTTTTCTCACCATAGCTTTGCCATTGATGCCGACTTCCTAGAAACCTTGCAGCCCTGTGAGCTGCTATCATGCTTACTCCCAGATGAGGACACCAAGAAGAGTTTAGGACAAGCCCAAGAACATACAGAACCAAGGCTCATCTCACGTCTCCTGCTCTCAGACTCTAGAGTGTTCCCTTTAACCCCACTGTCACCCCTGGCCTGGTGGTGGCACCCCGGAGTCCTTGGACTAAGAGCCTGTGGTGCAGAGAACGAAAGAGACAAAGCTCTCTCTGATCATGGTGGGAACATGTGTGCTGGCCTAGGGTTGGGGTAGGGGATGTCACAAGACTTGTGCAGGGTTAATATTTTTGAGACCAAGCAGACTGGCTCTCTGGCTGCCAAAGAGATGCATTTATCAGGTTCCAGTAACAGTGACTCTGAAAGAATCTGAGCAGACAATGAGGGAGGTGGCTTCAGAAGCCTCTGAGATGGCTCTGAGTCCTCAAGGATCTGAGATGTACTAGCGTCCTTCCAGACCCCACACTTGGAGCCCTCTCTGGCTGGTCCACGTTGGTTTCCTGACTTTTAAAACATGAGATGAGATGACTGGTGATGAGAAAGAGCCTTGAGTTTGCAGTTAGGATGCACACACTAGGCGTCCTCCTCCCAGAGCTAGCAAGAGTGGTCACTTCTCTGGGCCCTGTATGTTAAAGCTGGAGCTACACCATCCATTCTAGACTAGAGCAAAGAATCCTGTCCAAATGCTTTGATTCTGCTTCAAAGATTCATCAGATCCCCTGGTACCATGCCCAAAAGTGAGCTGTCATGCAGATGTGCTCAGCTGAAGGCCCAGGGAGCATCATGCACACATGGAACATGACTGTGTGACTTGCACTGTGCACAGGGCCAAAGAGAGGCACCTGTGGTGCTGGGTGGAGTCAGGGATGGAGAAGTAAAGTGGACCACTTGATCAGATAAGACTGGCTTCCAAGGAGCCCAAAACCCTGAATTTGAACCCCACTTATATCTGCCAAGACAGGGGGATTAGAAAGCACTTCACATAACAGTCTGTAAGCTAAGTTTAGAACTTCTAAGTATCTCCACAGACAGTTTGTGAGCCTCTATCTGCCTGGTTGCTCCATCTATAAATCCCAAGGACAGACTTGGATGTGAGCTACTTTCTAGAGCTCATCAAGTGCCTCTGTTTCTGGAGCAAATTCTGTCTCTGTAAAGTCAAGGGCACAGTGAATCCCACTGTGGCCCCCTTAGCCAACCTCTGACATCCTGCAGAGGCAGAGCCAGCCCTCAGCCAGTCCCTGTGGCCTCAACCAGGAAGCTGAGGTGGTAGAGAGAGACCCCTGTAACACTGTTAGGAAGTTCCCATTCAGCTTGTAAGAGAGACTGTCATCGACAACTTATCTTGGGGAAGCCATCTGCCTGACATAGTGAGCCTGAGCCAGGCTGGAAAAAGAAGGCATTACAGCAGCACCACTGAGCCTGATCTGCCTGTCTCTGGCAGCAGAAGAGGTTGAAATAGGGCAATGGTTCTCAACCTTCCTAATGCTGTGACCCTTTAATACAGTTCGTCGTGTTGTGGTGACCCCCAACCATAAAATTATTTTCAGTTCTACTTCACAACTGTAATTTTGCTATTGTTATGAATCAAAATGTAAATATCTGTGTTCTCTGATGGTCTTAGGTGATCTCTGTGAAAGACTTGTTAGACACCCCTCCCAAGAGGTTGCAAGCCACAGGTTGCAACTACACCCTGCCCAGAGTTTTGGCTGGGAGAACTGAATAATAGCAGGCACCTGGAGGGTTGAGATTTGAATATGGAGCAGGCAAAGTGCTACCTGCTTCCTAAAGGAAGTGACTTTGGAAACATTAGAACAACAGAAATGAAAGATGCCACTCTGGGTCTCGGATTTAGAAAAAAAAAGAAGGTTCCTGCTGTTTAAGGGTTGATTGTAGCAAAGAGGTAAAGCTTGCTACTCAGCCTGCAGGAAAAGTCAGCTACCTCTGCCACCCTAATAAATGGTACCTGGGCTGTAGGTGACACAAACCACATCTCTCTCAGCTAAGTCGTGAGGTAAGTGAGGTAGCTGGGATGACTTCTAGTGAGCTAAGACTTCACTTGCTGCTCTGACTGTCCAGAGACTACTGTTCTGGCACTGACACTCAAAGATTGCATAGCATAGCATAGCATAGCATAGCATAGCATAGCATAGCATAGCATAGCATAGCATAGCATAGCATAGCATAGCATAG